AAAAAAAAAAAAAAAAAAAAAAAAAAAAAAAGTGAAGGCCGTGAAAAACTAGAGAGTGAAAATAAAAATTAATTAGGTTGGAAGATTGAATTCTATATGTAGAGTTTAGTGAAATAATTTTTAATTATTAAGTTGAGTTGAGTTGAGTTGGGAATAAAATGGCCTAATAAATAACAAAGTAAATAAATAAATCACAATGCATAAAACTCAACTAATTAAAAAACACGTATCAAATTATATTTCAAATTTATGGGTGAAACAATTTTTTTAAAAGAATATTATTATATCAACTTGCAGCCCCATTTTGTAATTTGTTTATTTTCCGGGTCGGAAATCAAAATATCCAATCATTTTTATCTGTTCTCTGATTTTCAAACAAAGAAAATTGCTGCTCCATCACTGCACTTCACCTCCATAGACGAACACCAAGAACTTTCATTTACCTTCTTTAATATTTGCCAATTGCCATCATTAAGCTTCGCCATGCCAGCAGTAGTACAGTTCTCTACCACCTTCTCACCCTTACTACCTCTCCACAGACACAACAATGATTCTACCAAGAAACACTCTACATATTTTATCAAATCCGCAAAGCCCATCAATTATTACACTCACTCAAGAGCAAAGCTTGAATATTTACGCAAATACAGGTTCTGGGCAGCTGCTTGGAGGGATAAATTGTCATTTTCAGGATTGGGCAGGGGCAAAAATGGGATTATCTTGAGTAGGGGTAGGAGGGTTGTGTTGGTGAAATCAAATAATGGGCTCAAGGGTTTTGGCGGTGGCGGCGGCGGAGCCGGCGGCGGTGGTGGTGGTGGTGGGAAAATTGACGGTGAAACTGCAAGGGTATTGGGAAATCTAGCTTTGGCAATTTTCTTGACTTATCTCACTATGAATGGGCAGTTGGGTTGGCTTCTTGATGCTGTTGTTTCCATTTGGGTATTTGTTTTTCCTTTTTTTTTATTATTATTGGCTTTGTCCTTAAATAGAGCAAAAAAAGATAGTTGGCAGATAGGTTTTATCCTTATGTGTTGTGTGTGTGTATGTTACATGTTTACACTGATATGATTATAGAGACTTCATGAGCAGAATCTGGGGCCTTAGTGCTGTTTGAGTTTCGAGCTTAAGATCTTCTTTTGTAGTAAAATCGAAAAATCGATATGGTAATTTATTTTTGAGTGATTGATATTCGATAGTTCACTTTGATTCTGATTGATGTCCTAGCTGTTAGGAAAAGAGGTCGGATAAGATGGAATAATAACAACACACTAATGTGAAATCAATAAAAGACACGAATATTTGTTAACCCAGTTCGGATTAAATCCTACGTCTGGGGGCGAACCAAGCCAGGAGAATGAACTAGAATAAGAGGATAAATCGAATGTTACAACTCACACAAGCCCGTATGAATACACTCTTCTTTACTCTTTTCTCTCTCTCTCTCTTTGTTATGTTTTTCTTGGTTGTATGTTTGTTCATCACAATTGCTAGCTATTTATAGAAGAAGAAGAACACATTTTTTTCAACATTTGTGTACTATTAATGTGAACAAATGAGCATCCTAGCTGCTGCACAATTTCAAGACTTGTGGGCTGCCTTTTTCTTCTTCTTTGGTGTGCTGTCAAAGAAATGGAG